AGCCAACACACCCAGCAGGGAAGGCTGGGCTGGGACAGGAGGCTGTGATGGGTCCCGTGGTCCTCCAGCGCCACTCTGCCCTTAGCCGGCCCCTCGCACAGGCACGGAGGCTTGCAGCTGACCCTGCACAGCTGGGACATCTGGCATGGCAGCACCGAGGCCACAGAAGAAATGAAGTGGATATGGCAGAGGTGCCCGAGGACAAGGAAACAGGCACGTGGGGCAGGCTGTGGAGAAGTGCGACTGGGTTTGCAGAAGGGGGACAGTCCCCTGTGAGAGCTCAGTGCACCAAACCATGGTGTTGAGGGCACCTGTAAGAAAAACTAGGTCAGGTTTGGGGGCTCAGGAGAAGGGCTGGCTGGGGTGTAGTGGGAAGTGGGACTTCACGGGGAAATCTCCAGGAAGATGAGCCCACTGCAGGCCGGGTTTGGGGGCTGGGGGCAGGAATCACCTGTGTCACAACTCAGGCAGAAAGCAAAGATGCTCAGAGAAGAAAGAGCCACGGTGGAGAAGGCCCCAGCGGAGAAGACCCGACAGCCAGGGTGCAGACTCTGCCCCAGGCACGCACAGATGCCAGGGAGAACAGTGTCTGTACCAGGAGGATATGCAGCGTGGTGTCCGGGCAAGCCACAGGAATCAGGACCAGGGTGCAGTGGGAGGGTGACCGATGAGGCCGTCTCTCCCTGGAGGTGGGCCCTGCTGCCAGGAAATGAGAGCAACTGGCCAAGGAGATAAGACCAGGGGAAGAGCAGGGCCAGGAAGGACTAGGTGGTTGCCTGACCATGGGGGCAAGAGAAGTACAGGACTCAGAGACTTTCTGTGCCATGCAGGCGTGAGCAGGCCGCCAGCGTCTGTCAAAGGCCAAAGGCAAGGGCATGGGAGACCACCGGGTCTCCGAAAGAGACCCCCAGAAGCATCAAGGAAGGGGACACTGTACTTCCCAGTGCCTGCTGCCCTGATGCCTCCCCCGCTGTGTGGCTCCTCCTTGGGAACCTTGGCACCTCGGTAACTGCCTCTATCACAGGACACAGGGGCAGGGAGGCTGCTGACTTCTGAAATCACAGCATAAAGGGTGAGCCTTCTCTTACCTGGTTTTCTCCAGGGACCTGGATCAGGGAGTCCTGAACTAATAGGCAAGGCAAAAGCAAAGGTGGCTCAAAGACAGCCTGAAGCCGGCATTCTGGAAAAATCCCACAAGAGACAGAAGAGGCCCTGCTGTAGCAGCCAGCCACCAACCCAGGCATGTCACCGAGCAGAAGAACCTGGGATGGTCCACCCAGCCTGTGAACTGCTGTGCCAAGGCCAAGGGAATGGAGACCTCCATGCATGCCAAGCCCTGCTGGGTGGCAGATTCATAAGAAAACAGAATGCTGTCACTGTCTTAACTCCTGGTTTGGGGTGGGCTGTGGTACGGTGTTAGAAAACCAGAGCAGGGTGGGGGACGGGGTGGGGGTTGAGGGTCATCAGAGCATGGTGAGGACCATGAGACGTGCATGGTGTGTGGAAAATACTTCCTTAGGGGCAGTGCATGACGCGGGGCTGCAGGTTCCTGGGAGCTCACTCAAGTCAGATGCGAGGGCCATCTGACTTAACACTGACTCTAGGGCCAGACCCCTGGGTGTGAGGCCCACATGCACACCCCCAGAGTGCAGCTCAACCTGTCCGCCCGGCTCATCGCTCTCCAAGAGATGAGACAGTGGGCATGTGTAAGGCCTAAATGAGGTCACCTAGAGGACGCTGGCTGTTATGTGACGTTCCAGCTAGAGTGAGAGCTCCCCAGGGCGGAGGCCATGCCGGCTCACCTGGCACCTGGCAGGTGCTCAGACATCTGTTGAACAAATGGGTGCCACAGGGTTACAGGATGAGATCTCGGGGAAAGTGGCCCAGGGCGGGGGAGGTCATATGGAGCCGGCACGGGGTGCCCCAGTTATCACGCCAAGAAAACCACACTCGAGACCCCTGGGGATGGGCGGAGACATTGTGCCGCAGGAAAAAAGGACAGAAGAGCAAGAAGGGGGTCCGGCAGTTTTAAGTGTTAAGCTTAAAAAAAGGTAAGGCCCCATCCTTCCCTTTCACAAACCTAATTTAAAAAAGAAAAAGTCCACATAGACGTGGTCTTATGAGGATGAGCCCACACTCCCCACTGCTAAGAAGCTTCGGTCTCTGAGCAGGAGGGGCTGCAGAAGACGTTTTGGTGTGGTGTACAGGTCAAAAACCTAGCATTGCCTGACACTCTGTGAAAGACTTTCTGCATTTCTTCACTGAAGAAGGCCCTGCATTTGGATGTTTAGAGCCAACCACCGTCACACTGAGCTGCCACTACACGCCACTGTGCAGCTGAAGGGGATATGGAAATGAAAAACAGTCTTACTGCTGTAAACTCTCACACCAGGAACTGAGATTTGGAGACCGTATGGTGTGTTGCTGTGGGGAGCAGCCCTTCCCCATATGTGGCTTTTGGGGGCCCCACTGAGACACAGGCCCTGCACCCTCTCCTGTGAACCCAGCAAGGCCCATTAAAGCCATTGCCAGGAAGTGCCCCTTGAAAGCTGCCCAGAAAGCTCCCCAGGAGAGGCTGTGGAGCTGGGATGCCATGGTTAGGGACAGTGTGGGTCACGACACTGTCGTGGGTTACATCCCCACCAAAGAGGAAACTACTCTCCCCAGGAGGGGGCCGAACCATGGAGAGGGTGCACACAGGACCTGGATCCCCAGCTGCAGGGGGCCCCACACAGGCAGTCCCACTCCTTCCTTCCCAGCGAACACCTTAAGCAGTAGGATCTGGGTGGGTGTCTGTTCTGCCTGGTCCCAGCATCTACCTGGTCCTGGGTTTACAGGCTCAGTGGACTTGGCACCATGCCCAAAGTTCCCTTGGTCTGGAGTGGTTTCCGGACGGGAGCTCAGGGCCCAGATCTCACAGCCTGAGGAGGACCTGACACTTCAAGGTGCAGCAAGGCCCCTTGTCCAAGATCCTCAGATGGCATCTCTTGTGCATGCTCCTCCAGCCTCACCAGCACCATCACAAGCTATTTATAGGCCTGGCTTCAAGTCAGCACAGCCTCTCCCTAGGAAGCCTTTAAAGAAAAAATCTTTCGATTACAGTTTACTTTCAATATGATTGTGTATTGGTTTCACGTGTACAGCATAGTGGTTAATCACGTACTTCACAAAGTGTTCCCCTCGATACTCCCAGGACTTCTCAGCCTCTTCCACAGGCAGCAGCTCCACCGCCCTCCTCCTCTGCTCCCCCCGGCCCTGGAAGCCATAAGGACATGCCCCTACGAACAGTTTGCTGCTCAGAGTTTTCTTAAACCTCCATCAGTGATGAGTGGTTTTAATTTTCTTTATGGAACTTGCCCATTTTCCACCCTTAGCATTTATAACCTTGTATGTAGTTAAAACAGTTATTTTGTTGCAACCTGAAAGGATTCAGGAAGCTCAATCAAACAAGGCAGGGGAGATAGGAGTACAATCAGCACAGCTTCCTGTAATCTCCATCACCTCATCATTCTGTACAGGTGGAGAGAAAATTTTTATTGTAGCCCCTAAATTATGGTACCTTTCTGAGTCAGATCCCTTTGGAAATCATGAAAGCCAAGGGGCCTTTCGGGAGGAAGCCAAGCATGCATAACACTCACGCGGCATGCACTTGCAGAGCTCCAGATCCCAGGAAGTTCACCCAGCACCCAGCACCCAGCACTGAGCCCTGTGATTCCCACCATGTGATGGGAACAGCAGCCGGTACCAGAGACAGGATCATGGAATCCAGTTTAAGGCATCAGGAAGCCTTGCGGCCTGTCTCACTGGGCCCGTCACACCCCCCATTTCCTGCCTGTTCCAAGCTCTCCCTCCCCAGCCAAATCACCTCATCCCCGGATGTGATCCCAGTGCACTCAGAGTTCAGGTCAGTGTTTACTGATCACGTCCTAGAGGCCAGGGGCTCGTCTGGGCTCTGGGGAGCACCTCCCCCCTCTCCCACTAGTCCTCCCTGAGAGGTTGGCCTTGGGGAGTGCCTGGAGGCAGGCGGTGGCAGCCCAGGGAGCTAGGTCTTTTTATCAGTATCCCCAGGGACTCCTCAAGTATCCAATAAATGTCAGGGGAATCAGCCAATGAAATGCGCAGGTGGATGACAGCATCGCAGGCTCATCCTAAAAGGTGTCTGATCTCGGAGAACACACAACGCCTATCAAAATAGCAGTCCCAATAGGGAAGCGCGAATAGAATTTTTTCCCACCGCGTCGCGAGGCTTCTGTACAAAACTGAAACCGCAGAATAAAGGGTTTTTCAGGACCCTCCCTCAAAGGCGGCCACTGCCCCCATAGGTGCGTGGGAAATGCACCCGCAGCCAACCGCTTTATCTTGACTGCGGCTTCTGCGCGGTAAGAAAACAGAATACCCCCCCCCGGGAATCTTCGATTTGCAGACTGTAGGCCTGACACTTTGCCCTGGACATAATGGTGTCGTTTGTGCCGGGACCAGAAGGGCTGGGACCCTGAGAGGGGCAACGCTGCCCTCACGGTCACGCTCATTCTGGGCCCTGGGACACAAATGGCCGTTTCGTACTGTCGTAGGACAGTGGCTTCATTTCAAACCCTTTTAGTCCTAATTTCCAGCCTTCTCATGGGCAGCGGCCCCCCAGGCTCCGGCGTCGATAAACAGAGCTTCTGCAGCTGGACATGAAGGGCGGGGGTGGGGTGGCGAGTTGGGGGAGGGGGGGGCGATTCCGCGCAGCCCCTGAAAGAAGGGACTGCAAGGGTATCGAGGCGAGGAAAAGCCAAGCGTCTCGCTTGGGGCCCAATTATAAGCCTGTCCTTTCCACCGCCAGTCACTCCCTCCCGCGTCCCCCCGGGTCGCCGGACCCGCGCCCGACGCAGCGCGACCACCTGGCAGTCCCGAGACTAGAGCGCAGGTGGCGGGAAGAACGGGCGGGCCTGGGGCCCTGCGTCCTCCAGGAGTGCCTTCTGCACCGTGCCCCGGACCCGAGCCCCTCGGCCACTTACCTGGCACACGCAGGGACTGCAGCGGCGGCGCCTCCGCGACTCGGCCGCGCGCGACCGGGTGCCTGGCGGTGCGCTCGCGCCGCCACCGCCCAGGGCCCCGCCCCAGCCCCGCCCCCACTGGTCCGCTCACTCCCCCCAGCCCCGCCCCGCTCGACCCCACGGCCCTCGGCCCCCCACGAGCCCTGCGCGCCTCGCGCGCCTCCAGGGCCTCCACCCCAGCCTGCCCCCAGCCCTGCCCGCCCTGACCCGTGCTCGCCTCCGGCCCCGCCCAGGCCCCCACCCCAGCACCCGGGTGCTCCTTGCGGCCCCGCCCCTGGTCCTTCCCAGCCCGGGGTGCGCGCAGAGCGCTCGGAGGCCGGTCCGAGCGCCGCCTCTGCCTTACAAGGTTGTCTCCGCGCAGGCCCCGAGTCCACCGGCTCTACGAGCAGAGCCGTGGGAACCTCGCGGGGCAGTGCCCGTATGGCCGCAGCTGGCCCTTCGGGACCCCAGGGATGGTGGGTCAAGTCTTCGCGTCCCCTCTCCAGATGCGAGCGGACGAGGGTGGCAGCGGAGGGAGGATGAATGGGTGCGCAGACTGGCCTTGCCGGTTGGGGTGGCGGAGTGCGCTGGCCTCTCCGCGGAGACTCTAGGGCCATGAAGGGGACAGGGTGGCGGGAGGCTCAAACTCCAAGGAATGTGCGCAGGCTTGGTGGGGGGGGGGGGGAGCAGGGAGTGGGGCCGCGCCCTGACAGTCGAGGGGCACGGAGGTGGGGTTGTGGCGAGGACCTGAGTGGAGCACAGACAAGGAAGCAGATCCCTTCCCCACCTGGCCCTTCCCCACGGCCCCTGCCCTGCCTGGCCGGCTCTGGGAAGGGGAGGAGTGGTATCAGCCTTCAACAGAAGGTTGCTGAGCAGAAAGGTTCTGTGGCCAGGGTGATGGGGAGGTACTAGCCTGAGTGCTGAGAGTTTAGGTGGAGGGCTCTCCTTCTCATCGTCCAGGATCCCTTCTGTAAAGGAACTCTTCTGAGGCCATTGGAGGCGGCTCAGCCTCTGGGGAGACGGTGGCTTGAAGTCACTGACAGCTTCACCGCTATGGTTCCCTTGGAGCTAGCCAAGGAACTCACCCCAGGTTCTGTCCTCCCCCTCCTGGCTGAAGACCCCCCACTCACACACAGATCCTCCAGGTGTGTCCCACTGTCAGCACCTCGCCTGAATCAGAAGTGCCTGAGGCATGAGTCAGCATGTGGAAGCACAGCTTGCAGGCTCTCCTCAGACTCCGGGCAGGTCGGGGAGCCTGGCAAAGGCCAGCAGAGGAAGGTGGGGTGTGGAGCCGGAGAAGGGGTGCTGGGTGTTTGTCCATCAGACAGAGTGAGAGAAGGTGGTTCCCTGATGCCCAGGGAGCCACAGGCTGCTGCCGCACAGCCCCCACTCCATCCGCACAGTGTTTCCAGGTCTCAACCACTCTGGCTTCTACCTCCAGTTAAAACTGGCCTAGAGATGAGCTTCTCGTGCGCCTTCCTACCCCAGAGACCAGGCAAGTCTGAGAACTTAGAGCTGGAAGAGCAGGGAAAACTCAAGCTTGCCTTCCTGAGGCTCCACTCCCCCAACTCACGGTGGGTTCTATGTAGGTTGAAGCTGGACTGTGCCTTCTGTGACCACAGAGCCCTAAGCAATGCAAACGAAATAATGAAAAACGCTCCTAGTATGTTCCCATACTGGTATCAGCCAGGTGATTGTTTAGTTCCAGTTTTCAAAACCCCCACAAGTGCTCTGTCGTAAACGCAGTGATTTGGACGATGGTAAAATAGCAATGGGAGGTGAGCGCCATGCTTCAGAAGCAAATATGTTCAAGCAACAAAAATGTTCAAGTGGGAAGCAGAGGCCAGGCATGGGGAGAAGGAGGGCTGCCTCTCAGAGCCTTGAGTAAGCAGTCAGCACACCTGGCCCAGGTTAAGGGTGGAGACTCAGCCTGGCAGGTGCCACTTCCATGTTCCAAGTCTGATGCTTTGTTTCTAGATTGTCAGTGGCCAGAGATGGTGCTGCTGCCTGTGCCTTTCCTGGTCATCTGTGAATGGAGGAAGTTGGAGTTCACGGGCGTGCTGCTTCTTAACAGGGAGTCAGCTCAGTCCACACTTAGAAAAATCACTTAATAGTGGCACAAGTTCTTCCCAGGCTGGGAAAGTCCCACTTCGTGATGGAACTGCATGTTTTATCCAGGGTCGAGAGTCAGAGGGCCCTTTCTGCCAGACACTGCACCCTGGCCCTTGGTCCACTGAGACCTGGCCAGCGTCCATCTACCCTCCCATTACTAAAACCCTCACTCACAGTTGGCCGGGGGTGGGGGGAGGTGGTCACAGAGGCTTTGACAGTAAACTGGAGTGATCTGTATTTGTAGGAAGGACGTTCCTTGTTTCCTGGGGCCCAGGGAACAAAGGACCACACACTGGCAGCTTAAACAACAGAAATTCTCTCAGTTCTGGGCCCAAAAGGGCCTAGTTAATGTGCCAGCAGGCCACCCTGCTTACAGAGGCTCCGGGCGGGGAGGTGGGAGTGTGTGGGGGGGAGAGACCCTCCTGCCTTCTCCAGCTCCTGGTGCTCCAGGGGTCCCTGGGCTTGTGGCTGCATCCCTCCAACCTCTTCTTCTTCACATACCCTCCCCCCGCCCATTTGTCTTCCTCCCCGTGTCTCTTATAACAACACTCTCATTGGATTTAGGGCCACCCGGATAATCTAGGATGACCTCATGTCAAGGTCCCTAATTGTATCTGCCCGTGAAGTCACATTCCGAGGTTCTGGTGGACTGTCGCACCTGTCAGATGCTCTTCCTGCATCTCCCAGCAGCGGTCATCTCCACCCAGCAGCCATGGCAGTCTACCGGTACATGCCTCCAGGTCCCTCACTGCACTCCCTGGCCCCCTGAGCGGCTCTTGCAGCACACAGTTGGGAGCACGAGGGAGCCTCAAGCACCAAGTGGCTCCGGTGGCAGCAGCAGGGGAAGGGTTCCCCCCAGGCTCTCTGCCAGCCCCTCACTGAACCAGCCAAAGGCCAAAGATTTAAAATGACCAAGACTGATTTCAAGTTTATTGCCATTACAATTTTTATTATTTCCCATAAAACTTTCTAAAGAATGCTGAAGTTCCTTAACTCATAAACTTGTCAACATTACCGACGAACACGAGTAAAAACACTGTACCAAGTCTGTTCTGGATTCACTTTCTTCCCTGAATAACACAGACATGTGTAGAAAACCATGTCTTTCAAAATATGGCTTCCAGGGATCTACTGGAAATAAAAGTCAGACATTTAAAAACAGAATGTTATTGGTATGTGTAATCCTGCAGGCCACCGTAAGTCATGAGCAAAAAAGAGCTGCCCTTTGTGTATCAGTGTCTAGTCTCCCGATCTCCCCATCCTTGTTCATCTCCTCATGGTGCTTCTCGCTCTCACTTAGCTGAGCTCCTACTTTATTAAATTCAGTTTCTTTTTGCTACAAAAACAGTGCGTTAAGCACAAGAAATAAAAATGTAAAGAAATGTTTTAACTTACTTTCTTGTAGTCATCTTCCCCATCTTGAATATAACTCTGTATGTTTTCCATATAACTATGAATATTTTTAACCTCTTCGATTTCACTCATCTGTAGAAAAATAGTTATTAAATACACTGGTTATTTAATAGTTATTAAATAGAACCAGGGCATGTAAGATTTATTTCCAAGGAAATGTATTAAAATAACAAAAACTTACTAGGAGAGCACAGTAAAACACTGGCTTGCAAGTTAGGAGACCTGGGTTCTAGTTTTCATCACCAGCGAATTTTATCTCAGGTCATTGTTCATCACCTGTGGAACTGCATTCAAGAGCCTCAACTCTCAACTTCTGATATAGATCAAGAAACAAAGTTTAATCCTTATTCTAACAAGGATTTTTAATGTCAAATGCTCACACAAATCTGAAAGTATCTTATTATGCTCTTAATTTCATATGAAATAATAGTGTCCAACATGGTACTCTGAACATAATAATGTTTAATATATATGTTTTGTAAGTAAACATAAATGAAATCTTAAAAAAAATAAAATAAAATATGGCTTCCAAACTGAGTAAGTGCAGAGTTCATAAAATCACACGTAGACAAAAAGGAGGAGCAGCTCTGCTTCCGTCTTTTCATGGCTCTCGTAGAGAGCGCGGGGCCAGTGCGAGCTGAGGGGTCCGAGTGGGGTCTGGGCACCCCTTCTGGGCTCTGGTGTCTGAGGGGTGGGGAGGGGAAGGACCTGGAAGATGTTCACTCATTTTAAGAGAGAGGATGAGAGGGAGAGAAACATCGATGTGAGATGTTTCTCACATTGATGGCTGCCTCTCTCACGTGCCCTGAATGGGGATAGAACCTGCAACCCAGGCATTTGCCCTGCCTGGGAATTGAACTGATGACCTTACAATTTGTGGGCCGAGACACCCAACCAACTGAGCCATATCAGTCAGAGCTTCTTTCTTTTACTTTAAACACCTTCTTGTGTCCAGTCTCCTCCCCAAGCTCCAGGTCATTAGGCATCATGGTCAGGGGTGACTGGAGGAGTGTCTGCCTCAACCTCATGCACTCATTCGAGGAGAAGCCGAGCTCCACGCTGGAGACCAGGGAGAGGTGGTCTTGGTGCATCCCCGAGGGATGCGGATGCCTACTCAGCTGAACCACTGGGGCCAGCGCTGAGATGCCTCCTGTTTCGGGTCTAGAAGTTGGTTACACTGGAGGAGGCACTTGGGGTGGGGGCCTGCTCCTCACCCAGCTCCTTCACAGTGATGATGGTGGGGAAGGACAGCCTCTGGGCCTCCCGGCCCTCTGGGAGGGCATCCTGGGAGCTCCCGAGTTGGCACACTCTGGCTGCTGCCGTGTAGCAGGTCCAGGAGCAGCAGGTTCCATGGCGGATTCCACAGCCAGGATCGGAATCTCAGAGAAGGGCTCCTGGATGGGGCACTCAGCCAATGCCAGCCCCTCGGCTCCTGCACAGCAAAGGAAAGTCACCACGAGTGCCCACAGGGGAGGAGGCAGAGGGGCTCACCAAACCCTTGGCACCCAGAAATGGAGCCCAGCCCTATTCACAATGGAGATCAAGGCCAGGGTC